ATAATAAAAAAAATAAAATACATATCATTATAAATGAGAGTACCTTAAGCATTAGTCGTGTTTGGTAATACCTTATAATTTTTAAATAATGTTTATACAGAAACTACATTATGCAATTAAATGTTAAAAGTATAACTAAACATTCTCATAAGTCAAATAGGGTGAAGTCATCTGGATTGAAGAGAAACTCCTAATTAATAGGAAATGCATTGTTTCCAATTATTTTTAGTGCCTTTAAAGACATTTTTTTATTATACATTCTTTATTCAACAATATAAATTTTAAATAATTTAAAAAATACTAAATTTGAGTAGGTATTCATTTTTTAATTTTACAGTTGATAAACATTTGTTGTTAAAAACATTTTAATAATAAGAATTAATTTGCTTAGCATAAAAAATGTTTTTGTATAGAGCCGACTAATCTCTTGGCCACCAATGGGTATGAATGAAATTAGAACAATTACCAAGTCATATTTTGATTGTCGATTTTAGATAGACATAAATAATTGTATAAGAAAGTAAGTTAAGGGGATATTATGTTATTAATTGTTCTTAAACCATCCAATATGAGCATTTTTCTTAGCGTGTGCATGTGCATCATATAAAAAGTGCATAGTAAAGGATTAAATGATTTGTCATTTGTGTATGACTGTAGTGTAAGATAAATAGCAGTCGCATAAATATTATAAATAATTGTTTACTTCTAGTCTAAAAGTATCAAACTTATCCCAATTGTTTAACTAGCTTGATTATTTGATAACATTTTTTAAGACATACTTGAATCTTTCATGACATTTACTTGAAATCAACTTTATAAAAATTTTGTATACATTTTTTTAAATTTAATATTACTAAACATTGAATTTTAAAAATTCTTGATAACAATTTTATAAATTTATAATTATTCTATTTCAAACAAATTTGATGATAAGTATGATATATTAAACGTTAAAAGTAAGGTAATGGAATATTACATTGTTTAATATTTTCATAATATTCAAACTATATCTTAATCTAATTCACAAAACATGTAGTAGTCAGTAGGTACTGCATAGTAATTTTTAAATATAATAAAAATAATTATCAAAAGGGAGTAGTGACATGCAATAAAATGTACTTAGTAATAGAAAAATAATTTTTTTTTCCTTTTTCGTTACTAAGTTTTAACAAACATTCACAGAAAAACAATTAAAAACATTTAATTACTTAATTTAAATAATTTCTTTATTATTATTTTTAGATACTATGTAAATTTATAGAGAATTTAAGAGAATTTTTTATTCATTTTATTTTAATGATACATTTTACAATTTAATCAAAAAACTGGTCTGGCTTGTGGTTAGAGTAAAATATTAAAAAATATCAATATTCAATTTTCAAAAGAAAATTTTAAATCAATTAAATGCAATTATTAGTATTTAAAATAGATTTAGTGAAATTTCTTCAGTCCTGTAAAATACACTTATAATAAATTAAGGCTAGCTTAGATATAAATTTTAACACATATTATCAGTAGGTAAGTAAATTGACTATTGAAAAATGATCATTCAATCTTTTTTTTATTCTATTTAATTATTTTACTAATCTGTATTATAAATAAACTTCAAAACTTAGATATTACAATTACCTAACAGATGTATTATTAAAGTTGAGTTTTTATAATTTATCTTAATATTCACAACGAAAAACATGTGAACGTTGAACTCTAATAGATTTAACACCTATTTTGAAACAAAATACACACAGAAAAAAGGTCAATATTAGTGTATTAATTAGCATTTGATAAAAATGTACACTAGATTTAAAACAACCTATGTATAAAACAAAGACCAGTGAAACCATATATTTTCTAACTTTGTATAACCTTCTGTAAAAATTAAAAATTAAAAATTAATATTATAATCTCATCTTTTAAATCAATTCATTCGCTGATAAATAATATTTTTTTTATGTTTAAGCTAGTACCATTAAATCTAATGTGGTTATATATTAATAAATATAAAATATTTATATATTTATATGATGACAGTGCTTATTAGTTGTAGGTCTGTTCATTATGTATAATAACAGTTGAATATATTTATAAAAATTATTGGATATTATTTTTTCTGAAGCAGACGTTTTATATATTTACTATAAGAAAACGGACAGGTGTATACTTTTTTAAATTTAATTTTAACCCATCATTTTTACATGTATTACTAAAGAACTTAAATATTTTAAGGTCTCAACATACAACTAATATAATATGTATCATAAAGTATTGATACAAATAAATAATAATACAAATTGCTGATTCAAGCTTAATATTAATAAATAAATATTTTAAATAGATGATTAGTTTATTTGTATTGTTTGAGCATTTATTTTCTAATTTAACTACTTATAACTTATAACATAATTTATTTACAAAAAGAATGGATAAAATAATACCATTTACAAAAATGAATTATTTTTTAACAGACAAAAAATTATGTTAATATTGTAACTGTATATCAATAATATTTATATTAAGTAAAAATATGATGATTACTAATTATAATCTTGAGCATTCATATTTCATGTAATTTTTTTTTTTTTTTGATGAAATATTAATTAAGTTAAAATATCTACTTACATATTATATTTAATAGAAAAATAATACTTTTTATATTAAAAATCATTAAAAACTAAATATAATGATAATAATAATATAGTGTCTTATAAGTACACAATGTTTATTTAAATTAAATTATATTAAGCAACATGAGATAGATAAGAAGATACTTATGTGTTAAATGTAAATCAAATAATAATAATAATAAAAAAAAAGATTGAAACTGCAGTTAATAAAATTAAATTTAAAATGACATACTGATCAATTTTAAAATTAATTATTTCTCATAGTTTATATAAATTAAAAATAAATAATCATAAATATTTTTTTTTTTTTTATAACAACATTTAATTAAGTTGGATTTTTAATTGTGTACATAATAACATCACACAATTTATTACAAATGTATTTTATTAAGTTTACTTTATAAACAATATTTGTTTTAAGGTATACTAGATGCATTTACAATAACTAATAAAAATTAACCATTAATATTATTTTATAAGTAAAAATATAATGTGCGAGTAATTAAATAAAATTAATTTTGACTAAGTAATTAGTAAAGGCTACTTAACCCTGTTACTTTCAACTGTTTCAAAATATTTATTTTTTTTATTTTCCACAACTGAAATAGTTTTTAAAAATTGCATACATTTTACAATCAAAATATTGGACTTGGTAAAAATTAATAGTTCATAAATCACAATTTATACATGACAAAAAAATAATAATAAAGAAATGATATATTTTGAAAAAATTGTCTCTTATATGATAAGAACAGTTGATGTTGGTTTTAAAATTTAAATTATAACCATTTTTATGTAATTTTTTTAATATAGAGTGTTATCAAATAATTACTTAAAAATTAAAATTCAATAAAATAATATAATTATTGTAGACACAAGATATTAGTATATTATTGAAATAATTGTAAACAATTATTCAAACCTTTTCAAGTCTTATGGGATACAAACAAAAAATGAATACATAAGTATAAATATATATAAAATTATATAAAATATTACATAAATATCAATAAAACATCTAGTATGATGAATACATAACATGTATCTATTAGGTGGAAATCAAAATATAAATAGATAATAGTTTAATAAATTAAAAAATAAAATAACAATTTCATATTTGTAAAATAAATTAAAATACAAAATTATGACTTAAATAATATTAATAAACATAAATGATCATTTAATATTAATAGTTTAGGAATTATATAAAATACAAATTTTATGACCTTAAGGCTTAAAGATATCAAATACAATTTCTCAAGAGTAAAATAATTATTAAGTCTTTTAGAGCATATTATACATAAAATTTCAAGTGTATATTCACTAAAGTCTTTGAAAACAATTAGGATAAAGATAAAAATTACTTTGGGAACGATACATTTTGAGATCAGCTCATGAATCACTGTACTTTAAAAAATTATGTGAACATTACATCAGACTTGTATATCGTGTCTTAAATATAATTAATCTAACTATAAAAACGTTTTTTTAGTTATTTAGATAATCTTAGTATAATTAACAGCATTGATGATTAAGATATGCATAATTTAAAGAATAACAAGTTATGAAATGTTATACATAATTTCACTCTCAAATACTATAATTCTTAAAATTGCATGGTTATACAATTATTTTAAACTATAAGTTACAGTTACATATTTCTGCACAAATAAACAAAATTATTATTACACAAAAAAATATAAAAAAAAACCAAATAACTATTTATAAAATAAATATAAATTAAAAATAAATATGGTGTTTACAATTTAATCTATATAAAAATATATAACTCAAGACATATTTAATTAATTTAATTCAAAGTGAATGAAGAATTTCTTTTGAAAATGACATTAAAAGAACTGAAATTATTTGCATTGTCCTAAGTAAGATTGTGTTTATACTAATAAACCAATTTGAATTATTTTGTTTATAACAATATATTTTTTTTTCTTAATTTATTACAAATTGTGACAAAATTTATATTATCACAATCCATAAAACGAATATGTTTTCAAAACAATAATAATAAAATATTTTATAGGTAAATAAGCATAAATCACTGACATCAATAATACTCTTCTCAATTATGACTATTTATCTAAAATATAAATCATAAAATAAAAGTAAAAAAATATGTATCTATACTTAAAAAAAGTTTCTTTTTGTATCTTAATTTCAGACTGCAGATAATGTATTTTTAACTTTATACAATCATGTTATTTAAATTTAAAATAATTGTCAATTACACATAAATCAGAAATAAAATATAATATTTAACAAGGAAAACAATAAAAATTACTAATAAAACTAAAAAAAAAAAAATGAAAGTATTAAAATACTTTAAAATAATTCAAGTAAAATTATTATTAGATACTATTATTAATCTATTGAAACAATCATGTATGTAGTTTTAACTGAATGCATTATAGATAACTTTCTCTTTTTAGGAGCAAATTTAAATTCATCTGTCATAAAAGACCTAAATCCAATTTCTCCCCAAGTCTGCATTCCAAAAATTGGTATATTTGGAAATGTTTTTGCAATATGAACATTATCTTCAATAGGCAATGAATGTCTATCTACACACTGGAACATCATTATGAATGTCTTGTGAACATTCAATTTCCCAAGAGTATTATTAACATACTGTGCAGTATGTTTTAATCCCTCAAGCACTCCATCATCTGTTGTAGAACTAATGAAATCTGACACACAACGTATACCATCTCCACGAAATATAATTGCCTTTAAAACACCAGGAATATTTTTTTTTGGTGGATTATCATAATCTAAGCTTGATACATGTCCTCCAGACAATGCAAATGGTTCAGACTGATTGTTAGATACCATTTTCACAATAAACCTCATCATTTCATCAATATATGGTGCACCGACTTTCAAAAATATTAATCCTTTTATAGGGCGTGGATCACTATGAAAAAATTCATGTATTGGTTCTGGTGTAAATGAGTCGGATGTAACTACACGTGTAAATACACTTACATCATAAGTGTCAGTAGTAGGCATATAGAGAAGTGCCAGCTTTTTATGCATCATAGTTTGAACAGTTATTAATTCATTTTTTTCATTTTTGTCTGGATAAATAATGCCTTTAGCACCAATCGGTACAAATATTTTAACTGATTTTGGCACTATGTCACTTTTGGGAAAGAAACGGTTATCGTTTCTATCTCGTAAACGCATACAAATTTTTGGTCTGGACCTAGAGGAAGGTCCACCACCCATACCTTCAAAAGTAAACAATACTTTTGGTTCAATCCTTAAATCAATAAAATGTCCACTGTGTATAGGCTCTGGTCGATGATCAGTTCCATGCATATAATTTAGAGCAGCAGCTTGAATCCATGTACGTTTTTTTAATAGTATATCAGTAGCTATCTTTAATGAACTGTTGACTTCCCGAAGTGTATTAAGATCATAATAGTTTAGATAAGATAAAACCAACTTTAGAACAGAATACTGTTCAGAAAAATATTCACCAAAATCACCAGAATAAGGTGAATCTGGACCAATCGGAATAACTATAGACTTAGATGTGCTACTTGAATCCAACGAATAACTGCTTGAGCTCGGCAGATCTTCCATTTCGTACAAATATGCAACACCTAAAAATCGAACAAAACGATTTTGGACCTGAGTTTTATAATTTGGTTTTTAAAGATATTTGGTAACATAATAAATCACAGAATATTACTTAAGTTATCTAGTGTATTTATGAGAATATGCTGTTCTCACCTACTATACGCAGTTAGGATTAATATTGCAAATTACGTTTTCACCAAACTCCTTCAATTTTTGCAGTGCACGTTTAACTTTATGTAGATAGAAAAACCATTAGTTTCAAATAAAACGCAGTTGACTAAACTCTCATTAATTATAACATTCAATATTGAACGGTTTGCATTAGATCAAAATTACATTAAATTTAAAACAACATTGCATACAGCGTATGCCATACAATAATAAAAAACAAAAAAAATTAATATCATTATCATAACGCGTTATCATTTACATACTCACTAAAATATTTAGCGTTGTATTCCAAATGGCCATGGAGGAAGACTACACGGATTTATTCCTCCAAACGCGGAGGTAAAATAGTGATTCGATTTAATATTTTCACGAACCTAATACTAAAGTACAATGTGGAAAACAGTAAATACATAATGTTGAACGTACGGCAAACGATTTAATTTGAAGGCATGAATCTTACTTTCCAGTAAGTATTTAAAATTTTAACGTGTGGTACAGGACCTTAGTCGAAACTATAAAATGTAATCTTAAGTACCTATTACAAATAAATATAGATAGATAATGTGAGTAATATTTGTTGTGTCTTCGAAATTTGACGCACAAAACTACACATTATAACAAATGTTTTTGGTCGTATGGACAGTGGCGTAATCCTTACGTTTCTAAAACGATAGGTACCTACGATTATTACGTAGGTTGTACCTACTATTTTTAGTGCTCGGAATACTTATTGCATAGATAATTATCAAAATCATATGTAGGTAGGTAATAAAAGTTAAGAAATTCGTATTCGGGTATGCATAAAAAAAACTTTAAAATAAATAGGTAAATATGAATTGATAAGATTGAATACCTACATTAGTTTGGGTATCGGCTATATTGGCTATCCGCACGTGTTCGCAGTTTCAAAAAAGTTATATTTTGTTTAAGTTATTGAACGAAACATTTATCAAACCATATCTATGGTGAAACATTTTGAGACATGTTTTATTTACTAAGACAATAATCACTTTCTTAGTAACATAAAATATTTAATGTTTAACGAACATATACGTTTCGCGACGCACACGAAAACGCGATTAGGTGACACGTCTACAAACAAAGAAACGCCGACGTCTAATATAATGAAACCCGATGTAAAGGTAAACGTAACTTTGTATGGTAAAGTAGGTACGTGTACCTAATTTGTGTACACTCGATAATAAAGGAAACTAACTAACGACTAAATTATGTCCTACATTGACATGAGAATACACCTATATTATTATGACAACCATATGTAACAATTGTAATTTATCATTAATATCATTATACTTCTATAATTTACCTTCAACTTGCTCAAAACTGCTTTACTTGCCTTCGTAAGCGACAATAACCAAGGTTATCAGGCGACGAAACGATATCGATGCATTATCCATAGCAAGCAATAAATAAAAATTTAAGTTATAAGTAAGAAAAAAATATTATTTTTTTTTTAAATAGAAAAAGTGTTGTTTAAATTTTTTGAAAAAATTAGCAAAATATAAAAAATTAGATAGGTTGTGATGCAATTTTTTTTTTTTTTGTAAAATTATTATTATTTAACTTTTCAGTTTTTTTTTTTTAAGTATACATATCCAATAAATCCTGGCCAAAATTATTGAATATTGGTAGTTATTAGTTGTTACTTATCTTAAGCCTAATTTAGAGCTTTGTTCTACAGCCAGAGTCGTAACTAGGACTTTTTGTAACTAGCTTAGGACAGAGGTGCAACAAAAACAGGAGCGTAAAAGCCAAAATAAAATATGCCTATATTATTATTAATATTAATAACATACATTTTATTTAGAGTACGCACGATGTTATTTTATTATACATTGATATAAATCATAACTATAGAGGAATTTTAAGCTATTCGAGATGAATTGCCATACAATAATACATATTATAAGAGTATATTTAGTTTACAAATATTACAAAGTGTTTAGATATAAAATATATGACGTTAAAATATTGCTTCGAGTGATGTTACGTGGTAGCCACAAGACGTTTATTAATATTAACCGTTGTCTGTCTCTGATACGGTGTGGCAGTGACAGATTAATATGAAACAGGGGAATATGATGGGATTTAGATGTTAATAATATTAGACAAGACACTTAGTTATACCGAGTGCAATTTAACGTATATTGAAATAAAATGTTAATAGAATATATTTTACTTTACCAACGACCTGGTATTAAATACACAGAACAAGCGATGAAATGAGACCACTTTGCTGCATAAATATGGTAGAAGGATTATATAATTAATTATTATAGTTATTACTTATTATTAATTTACCAGTGCATGATAATACAGAACGAATGTAAGATTGCATATGTGTTTATCCGTCTAGGGTATTATATATAAATTATAATAGTTAAATATTATCACCTAATGTAATGGTGTCAATTATCATCACAATAAAGTAATAGTGAATAATGAAAATTGATTTGTATTATTATAATTAAATATGAGATAAATATTAAATTTGAAAATAGAATTCAATATTTAACTCACATTGATGTATTCGTATTTATTGGTAGGCACCTATTCATTTTTCATTATTTAATCATTTATATTTTATAATAAATGAAAAGATGTTCTCGAAAAAAAATTACGGCAAGTTATTTATTTTTGTAACTATACGAAATTAAATTAGTATAAGTTGTAATCTAGGTTATAATAAAGTAATTATAAATGAAAAAGAAAATATTTCTCAGGTGTTAAAGAAGTCGTTATTACCATTTGTTGATTTATATTTTTTATCGATAAAATTAGAATTTAATTAATATAAAAACATAAGTTTGTTGACACATTAAAAAAAAAAAACAACAACAATAATTAAAAAATATATGAGTGAATAATTAATAAACAAAAAAATAAAATAAATAGTTAATACAATAAATATAGTTGTTTATTTAAATAAGAAATAAGATTAAAATGATTGATTTATTATTTTATTACTTCGTAGAATTTAAAAACTTTAGACTAAAATGTAAAATTAAAATACTACTATAAATATTTATATAAAATTTCCTATAATTTTTATTTTTTATTAAAACCATTTCGAGCATTAATTTTAAATTTTAATTGTTTAAATTAAATTTTAATAATTTACCTAATGCATATACAGTATGGTATAAATTTAAAATTATAACCATGAATCATAATCAATATCAATTAGGTTTTATATCTGAATATAAAGTATTGTAAATATCTTAGTTGATTGTTATGTTGACTTGCGCTATTCAATAACAGTTCATGACATTCCATAATAATTATGAATGTAATAATTTATAATATTGAACTATTATTTCTACCATAGTAATACATTTACCAATATAGTATTGTATTATAATTTATAATAATTTATAATAATTAATTAAGCATCTCGTTTTTAAAATCAGTCTGGAGTGTATTCGAACAATTACGGACCTAGAAAACGGTTTAATGAATATATTGCTTAATGCTTAACATTTTTTAATTTATCATGTATGCATCAATCAATAAGTAAACATTAAAAAAATAGAGTTCTGCAATAATAGGCACTCATCTTATTACGAACTGAGGTATATTTTTGAGAAGGTGAGAAGAATTACAGAAATCAATCTTCCCTTTTAGTTTATTTATATCATCACATTTAAAAAATTAGTAAAACGATTAAGAGTGAATTTTTTCCTTGAAACCTACTTGGGCATGGAAATTAATGACATGTTACTAAACAATTTTAAATATAAAATTTGAAAGGTATTTATTTGATAAGTACCTACATTTTCTGTTTTTAAAAAACGCAAGTGGTAGTCATTTAAAAACATAAATTAATTTCTATAGAAGGTATTAAAAAATACATACCTCCATAATAATAAATTTACTGCACAGCCACACAGATACAAATATTTAGCATTTTTTAATTATATAATAGAAAAAAACATTAATGTTTTTAGAAAATTACTAATTTTCAATTCTAAGCAAAGCAATATAATATATTGATTAAACAATGTGTTTTTTTTTTTGTGTGTGTTTGGGTATAGAAAAAATACTAAAATATTTTTTGATTGGAGAATGAATTTGGTGGGTGCTATAATTATTACTTTTAAAAAAAATTCTAATTTTCAAAAACAAATAATATTTAAAATTTTTACCAAATATTCATGTATATAAATTTAATAGATATATAATATTTAAAATATTATGACTCATTTTTCTATACACTATGAAATTTACAAAATGTTTAAATTAATTGTAAACTGTTTCTTGTTTATGTCGTATTACTAATTATGAAATTAATTACTATATAATAATAGTATAAATATATATATGATAAAATATACTTTGTAATGTAAGCTGACAAACCACTATTATAACTCACTAAGAATCATTTTAGATTCTGAGCGAAACAATAAATGTATTGATTTTAAGATGATGTGTTTTTTTTTGTGTATAATCATGATAAAGTTGTCGATATAATGCTTCGATTTTCTACTTCTAAGGTAGTTTTAGATAGCAGATCGAATTTAGTTGAGGATTTTGATTTTTTTTTTTTTCAAGAATGTTGATTAAAAGTTATTCGCTGGGTAGAAATATTTGAAAATTTAATACAAAGCTCCACCTCATAAGTTGTTAATTCTCCATTAAAAAATATGGAAAATCTATAATCACAATATTTTTCATAATCGTTTTATCATCAATTTTTTTCCCTATGTACGCTTATCATACATAATCCATCAAGTCTATCTTCACTCATTGTAGATCTTGTTTATACAATTTTTCAACATTTTCCAGAGGAGGACATGTCCCTCCCTTCCCCCCCCATATAGGCGCCTTGACCCTAACCCTGCGTACGCCACTGATTACAAGATTCCTATTTAGTAGTTCATATTGAAACTATAAAATATGTAAAAATATAGAAGGACAATAATTTTTTATAGACATTTTAAATTCAAGCTTGAAAGAAACTACTTACTTAAACGATAAGTAACGTTGCTAATTATTAGTATGTAATAATTCATCACACAATATTCGCAAGGACTAAACTTTCTACTTATATTAAAATATTATGAATATTATTATACGCAATTACATTTTTGATTTATTTTATGATATCATCTACCTTTACTTTTTTATGGTACCTATTTACAAAAAGATGTTATTACATCTTGTAATATAAGATGATAAAAA